GGGGGGGATGGATGGATGGATGGATGGATGGATGGGATAGATGTTACACTGTATGCCAGTATCTTACTGGGCCACAACTTGAATACAGTTGGGAACCTTGAAGCAACATTTGAAAGGGACTCTCCAAAACATCACACAACATTTGTGTCCATTCATAATGTCCTTGTATGACCTACAGATGTTTGTAGTCTCGTCGCTTGAAGTTTGAACATGTTCAAAAAACGAGTGTGACAAATTCACTGAAAATAGTCACAGAGTTGCCACAAGTGTCTCAAACCTGTTTTACATCATTCTCAGTTTAGTTCCTGTAGCTCCAGAGCTTAACTTGGACGCCTGCACAGAACATCTGGATTTGACAGAAAACATCCAAGGCTGCGGTCTCAAACGTAAAGCTCTAATAACGATAAATAATAGTTACTTCAACACTAGTCTAATGTGACCCATCTTGATGTCAGTAGATTAATTCATGATGGCTGGTGTGGCCAACATGGTGGGTACAAAGCAGGCCAGGTACAGCGTGGGGAACAAAACAATGTGCATGACCTAAAATACAACTTTGCGAGCCATGCACGCAAAATGAAAGCTGCAATTTTAAACTTTAAATTTTAAACTTGTCCACACAAAATGTGGCTGCACAACTCACCGTTCACAAAGAAGAATTCAACTTAATGCAGCTGAAATTGTTATTTTTACTATTTTCTTGCCATTTTGAACCCTAAACCATTATCCAACAGTTTGACCCAAGTGAGACAAACAATGGTTAAACTATTGGGCTTAGCTAACTTGTTGGTTTGTGGAGTTTTGCTTGATGGTATCATGTTTCATATCTACATGTTTACCTTTTAGTTATATTTAAATATGTATTTGGCTTTGTTATTCATATAATGCAATAAATAAATTAACTTATCCTGTGTGTAAATGTGCAATGTATTTTTTGTTGTTTTAAGCTGCTCAGTATTTTATAAAAGTTTAAATGTTTCTTTAAAAAAGCAGTTTTTGATTCTTGTTTTATATTTAACACCCCCCCACCCCCGTTTTTGTAGAGCTTGCACCTCTGGTGTATTTTTATATTAACATCTTTGTCCAATGTTACAATAATTTAGTGCACCTATTGTTGCAATCAATGAGTGGTTATTTCCTTGTCCCTCAACATTATCTCTTTATAGGTTTGAATGTAAGGTTGTCTGATTTCTAATTTTCTTTTTTTAGTATTATTTTTCCTTCTTGGATAATAAAAGCTGATAATCTTATGTAATATCCTGATTTTGTACTTTGCACAGTGCAAAAAAAAAAACATTTTTCTGTTACAGTAAGTATTTTTGCTAGAGCTAAACAACTTTTTCATTCACAAGTACAATGGCTTCTATTCACCTCTATCTTTTTACACAATATATAATTTTTATAAAGCCCAACTACATCTTCATGCCTTTAACCATATTAGATTGTCACTGGGTATGAAATGTTCTAATTATTATTTTTTCCTTTATAGGTGTTTTCTGCCACTGATGGGATCGTATCGGCTTCATTCATGTGCCATCCTCCTTAAAACCTCCATGGAGCTCATTCAGGCCACCCAAGTTTCCTCACCGCCTCAGGAAGAGCCCACAGCTTCCTGGAGCAACAGCTCGGTGCTGCCTTACTCCAATGCTTTGCTTTTTGTGACTCCCTCTGCATTCTTTCCCAGCATCAGCCCAACCGATGGGTCGCTCTTCTTCAACAGCAGCTGTCTCAACTGCACAAGCAGCACGTCTGTCTCCCTCCCTGGTTTGGCAGGAGTCTTCATCCCGCTCATCTATGGGATAGTTTGTATTGTTGGTTTAGTGGGAAACACTCTGGTCATTCATGTTATTGTGAACTACACAAAAAACGAGTCAGTCACAAACATCTACATCTTGAATCTAGCCATTGCCGATGAGCTTTTCATGCTCGGCCTGCCTTTCCTGGCTGTCCAAAATGCTCTCCTCTCTTGGCCTTTCGGCTCGTTAATGTGTCGTGTGGTTATGACAGTCGATGCGTTCAACCAGTTTACCAGCATCTTTTGTCTAACTGTGATGTCAGTGGATCGATACCTGGCTGTCGTCCACCCCATCCGCTCCTCCTGGTGGCGACGCCCCCACGTGGCCAAGGCTATCAGTGGCACAGTGTGGGCAGGGTCCTTTGTTGTGGTGCTGCCAGTGGTGGTGTTTGCAGACGTGCTGAAGGATGATGGGAACTGCAGCATCGTGTGGCCGGAACCAGCGGAAGTGTGGAAGACATCTTTCATCGTGTACACGTGCACCGTCGGATTTTTCTGTCCACTGCTTGTCATCTCTTTATGCTACTTGCTCATCATCATCAAGGTATGGCTTTTATTGTCACACAGACCAACTAAAAATACTTCAAAATGGAGTTAAATGTGACAAAACATTCATGGATCGATCAATAGAGAATTTCTGCACAAGTCAAAACATGAAGGAAAAACTTTGTTTTGTGAAAAAAAAGTGAATGTTAAATGTGCCAAAATTTGTTGAAAGATTGTGCATAGTTAGATTTCAAACAAGTAGAACTTAAGATAAAATAAGCAAAACAGTAGCTAAAAGCTAAAATGATCAAAACAGTAGCTAAAAGCTAACAAATGCTAAACTGTATTTGTCGACACATTTGCAAACAGTCGTTTGTTCTGTGTACACGACTGTGTAATGATGACCTAAAGCCAGTGGTTCTTAAACTGTGATCCACAGACCCCCGGGTGTCTGCGAGACAGTGCTTGGGGGTCCGCAAATTTTATTTATTCATTTTTCCTTTTTTTACAAGCACATAGATGTTTAACAAACCATTAAAATACACCAAAATGCATGAAATGGCATCCATTTTATTCAAAATTTTCTGGGGGAGGACCCCCAGAACCCCCCCCCCCACCCCCTGCTCTGCAACTATTTGCATTCCAGCATCAGTCAGTTTACAAATGAAGCCCTGTTACCTGGTCTGACTACTGCTGTTATGATTCTGTTCAGTTTTATGTAGAGTTTTCTGTAATGATTTGAATAAGTACCAATACATTTATTATGTTCATTATGTGAAGAGGTCAAGTTTTAAAGTGTTTTTTGATATTGTTAATTTTCTCACAACTGTAATTTTTGGAAGTTGAAATTAAAAATGTTAACTGTGTCTTGAATGAAAAATACCCATGTTTAAAAGTATAAAAATTGTATTAACACTATTAAAGAACAGATCTCAAGGATTTATGTTACACAAATATTTCCATTGCATTAGAGACAAATTTTTTTTTTTTTTTTTTTTTTTTTTTTTTGTGAGCTCAGTTTAAGTGTAGAAACATTGTGAAGTGTTTCAATGAACTTATCATCGCTCAATTAACAACATGCACAGCACAATGCCACCCACAATATCACCATGAAACATTCGACATCGCACAATGAATCATCTAGCTTCCGCCACTACCCAACCTAGCGTGCATCTGTCAAAGCACCTGAATCCAAACACCCGAGACAAATTAAAGAAAATTATTTAATAAACATGAGGGTTATGAGGGGTCCCTGAAACTTTTTCTCCCCTGTAAGCGGTCTCTGAACCCAAAATGTTAGAAAACCCCTGAAATACGCAGACAGTATGATTTCTTCTTCCAGTATATACCATGTACCCCCCCCCCCCCCCCTTTATTTTCCATTGCAGCAGCGTTCTTTAGCCTTAAAAGCATGTTAACGCTGGTTTCGGCACTGGTTGAATTTATTGTTTTGGGACCTCGCTGACTTGCAATCTCTGTTTATTCTAAATTTCCTGTCAGCTTACGATTCATAACCAGTAACGTGTATGTAGTTTATCTCTGAATCCTCATAAAGGTGCAGACAAAGGCAAAGATTCATCTTATTATTCTCTATCTCCGTTTTCTTCCTGAACAGAAAACTGAATCAGGGACATGCTTACTAACAGCATCCAGTCTGCAATATTTTAAAGGTTTTGAGCTGCATGTAGTCTCAGAGGGACCTGGGGGATGATCTCAGACAGGCAAAGACGACAAAATTTATGTCTACAGGACACTGCGGTCAGGAAAACCATGAATTCCCTTTAATGCTTCTAAGTCCCTGCCATGTGGGTTATAGGCTGTTTCTGGAATGCTTTTAAGAAAATTACTTTAAATAAGGCGCAAATATCAATTTTAACACAAGAATGAAAGGATTGGTTTTTATGCATTTGTGCGTTTATCATTTCATTGTTTGTGTCTGAAAATTATATTTCTGCATTGGCTGTTTAAGAGGTTTTTATTTATTTTAAAATCTCTTTAGTGACGGGGACCGCAATTTAGTTACAGAGAAGATCTTTAATAAAAAGCAATGAGTAAATTGTTTGCATGATTGTTTCTGGTTTTACATTACAATTAAATTTAACTGAAACAGAATTTGGCAGTGACTTTCCAAACATGTTAAACGGTAAGATCGAGGATTATTATGACATTTTGTACAAGTGTCTAGTATGAATAAAAGGATTAAACAATTAACATTTCATGAACAAAAGGTTAAAGGTCATTCAATCGAGCACTATACCTCGGGGATTCATGGGGAAACAGTGATCATATTTTACATTTATACTCCAAATGAGCATATTCCTTATCTGCTAAAAGGAATGTTCAGATAATTTGAACTAGAGTTTAATGGAGAGATTATGAAAGAATAATATTTTACCTGTTGTAGATACCCTTTCAGGCTTCAGTTTGAAAAACAAGAAAAATAATTAAATACAGTAGTCACTCACTACTTCATGGTTTGTTTATCGCGGACTTGCTCTATTGCGGTTTTTCAAAATAAGATTGGACATGACACACAATTGGCTGATTGATGGATGAGCAGCACGATTGGCATGGAATTTTTATTTAAAATTAATTACTTTAAATTATTTAGCACCTGCTGCACATCTGTGCAGCCCAGAGCTGCAGAAAAAAACTTCCTCCTGCAGCTTTGTGCAGCCCATAAAGCAGGACAAATTTCCTGCTGCAGCTGATCAGCTGTTCTCTGTGCAGCGGAAAAGTGGGCGTGGCCAAGAGCGCTTGCAGGCGCAAAGAGCAGAGGCAGGGAGCTGAAATCAGGACATTCTGTGCTCTTTTAGAGTGTTTAGAAATTAGAAACATTGTTTAGAACATTGAAAGAGTGTGGGAAGGGTTTAAAACGCCTTTATATTATATATATATATATATATATATATATATATATATATATATATATAT